AGGTTTGAAGCTATTTATCCTACACTCAAAGAAGTTGCTCTTGCTGGCTCTCCTGGAAGCAAAGCAATGAAGCAAGTTTCACAGCAGATATTCAGTTTTGCCATCAAAGCAGCTGGAGAAAGTATACATACTAGATGCAGACTCTCTCTCTCTTATCTTCTTCATTTCTCTCTTTTCTTCTTTTCTCTGACCTGGAAAACTATATTTTAAAATTTAGAGCTTGGGTTGAGATTTAGCTATTTTCCATAGGCATTCCTGAGTTATCCAAGGAAGCAGCTGGGATTGCCATCTGGTGTTTAATCCAAAATGCTGATTGCTGCAAGCTATGGGTGAGCTACTGTTGCTTTAATCATGCATTCTTCCCCTTTTAGGCTCCATTAGTGTTTACTAATTTAGCTTTCTGGTGTTCAACCTGATTTGAATAGGACAAGGTTTATCGGGACAATATAGAAGCTAGTGTTGTTATTTTGAAGAAACTTTCAGAGGAGTGGAAGGTCCACTCCAACAAACTATCTCCACTGGAACCTCTGAGGGAAACTATAAAGAATTTCAGGCGCAAGGTATTAGATATTTTACAGATTTAATTAGTTATGAAAATACATTTACCGCTCTGTCTTGATTGTAATTTTTGCATATAGAATGAGAAAGAGATGGTTGGTGGAGCTGATTCTACTGATCAAGCAGTCTACAGAGATGCGGACAAGTATTGTAAACTGGTATTGGGCAAATTATCACGCGGCAATGGATGCATGAAAAGCATGGCCTTTCTGGCCATTGCATTGGCTGTCGGTGCTGCTCTCTTGTCTTCCCCGAACATGGAGTCCTTGGATTTGAAGAAACTTTCTGTGCTTTTCAGTCAGTCTTAGTGAGAATGATATTCAATCCAATCGGCAACTGAAATCATCAGTTTGTTTTTAGATAGTAGCTTTCCTCCATTTTGAACTTTTGACTCTGACCAAAATGGGGAAGACAAGTCTTTTTAGTGACAGTATTTAGGGACATGGTGGAATGACTCATAGTATCAGAATACAGGGTGTTAAATTTATTGAAAAAAAGGCATATTCTCTCTTTGAGAAAATAAGGATGAGGACAATCATGCGACAAGCTCGCTTAATTGTCAAGTGTATTAGATATTTATATAATTTGATGAATTTTGTAGATGCGAAGGATATGTGGATGGTGAAATCAATTTGAATCTCGTGAGAAATAAATTTTCAAATAAAAGTACTGACAAAGTGTCAAAGAAACTCATCAAGTTTCACTCTGTTCTTTGTTTTAAGCTTCTGAAGAATGAATCTTGTGGTTCAGTTTGATGCAGGTCCTTTGAGAAGTTCTATGGTGTTGTGCGTTGCTTCACTTGGTTTTAGATTCAGAACATTCAGATCAATTAAAGAATAAAGGGTGAGAATCTTATTTACTTGATCTAGTAGTTATGGACATCATAGTAGCAGGTGACAAAAGATAAAAGCTATGCATTGAATTGGTGTTATCATGGATATCAGTTTTGTATGTGAAAGGCACATGTTTAATTTTTATACAAGCAGTATCCTGCCTAAGGGCAATCTTAATGAGACTCCCAGGAGGAGGAACAATTGGAATTGTGTAGAATTTCATGAATAATCTTCAGGTTCAGCAAAGGGATACTTCAGATATGCATTTTTGATTTGTGAAGGGTCTTTAGGTGTGTCCCAAGGGTACTTCATGGATGGATCTCGTGGAAACTTCCTGAAGTTCAGAAATGGTGCCCAAACCAGTAAACTGCGTACAGCAATGGTTGATAAAAATTACAACTCATTATGTTTAAATTTTAAAGCTTAAATGCACTTTAAACCCTGAAGCTTTTTAGAAGTTATTGCACTTTAGTTTTAATATATATTTTATTTTTTAAAAATTAAGAAAAATTTAGATAAGCTTTTCTTTTACTTGTTCAAATTTAAAATAAGCAATGGAGAAGAAGTTAAGGTTAGGTACTTACCCAGGAAAGAACATGAAGACAAACATGAATTGCAAATACATCTCCAAGAGGTTTCTCCTGTACCATCTTATCCTTAGCCAATTCATTATGATTGGCTATAATTCACCCGAAAAACAAAAACCCAAATCACACACTAACCAAACTCAATTACAGAAATTTTCAACAAACAAAATTTTCAAGCAATTAAAACTTACTGGCGCGATGATGAAGTACCCAAAAGCCACAATCCCCAGCTGTATCACAACAGTAAGGAGATCTTGCTCATGATTTACACCCGTAACTGCCAAGGCTGGTTGCTGATCAAAATGTGAAGAAAAACTCTTGTAAGATACACAATCTTAAGATGATACCTTGAATTCTATTTTGTCTTTTAAATAAAACACCAAACATAAAAATAAGGTATTGCTTAGTCTTACGGTGGCCAGAAGTGCACCAACTTGAATTGCCAAGCTGCATTTTTTTGCATCATAGAAGTGAATTGAGTTTAGGCTGATCCTTGGAGGTTCCTGTTATAACGAAAACCCAGATGTGAAATCTAAAATCCATGGGTGCCCATAAATTTTTAGCTTTGAAAGTTTAAAGGGGAGGTTCAGTTACCTTATTAGGCTTGATGTGGAGAGTTGGCTTGTCTTTGGATGTGAGACACAGAGGAGCTTTAGTTTGAGAAGGTGAAGGAGAAGGTAAAGCTTTTGGGATTTGGAGTTGGAGGCCGAAATAGCAGCTCATCTTTGAGCTCTGGGTTTTTTGCCTTCCTTATCTAGTTTTTTCACTACTTTTTCATGGCATACGTTCTTGGAGGAGAAATGAATTTCCGTAGTTTATTAAATTGCAATTTATTTAGGAGCACCACGTGGCATAATTGTCCCAAAGATCACCTCACTATGAGTAATATAATTAACTCTCTTGGTTTTGTTAATTACGGTTTTGTGGTACGCTTGTCTGCTGCTAACTACGTTTGTAAAATCTAGTGTTTATGGACATGGAATTTAGAGGTAAAAATATAAAAATTTAATATTTGTATATGAAAATTGAAATTTTCTTGGAATAATTTAATATAGTCTTCTTGAATTATGTCAGTTCTGCGCCTGAACAAATGAAATAATATGTTGAAATGGAAAACTTTACGATTAAAATTGAAAAAAAAAAAATACAACTTTAATATTAATGTGAAAATCCCACCTATTAACTACATCAGAAACAAATATGTAAATATAAAAAAAATTAAAATTTTTTAAAATATTTTATCTACTTAAACAGTCTTAAGTAAATCATAATTAATTACTTTGTTGAAAAGGTATAGTCCAAAAGTTAAAAACACTTTTTCTTAAAATTGAAAGCCTAAATTTGTTGTAATGGTAATTAGTTTACCTGATCGAAATTGTTATACATTATAATTTTACTTTTTGAAGAATTCACAAGCAAGATAGAAAGCTTCAAGAATCCAGATCTTTCTAGACTTGCATCCCGGCCCATTCCACATAATTTGGTAATATAGAAAAAAAAGAAAAAAAAATCCAGACGGTCTGCACAGAACACTGCCTGCAGCAGAATCCTTAGTCCTCTCCATCTTCGCAGTACTCGACAACCCTGTTTTGTCTTTGAATTTCAATTCCTGTTTTCGATTAAAACTTAAACACTATATCTGCTGTAAAACCATAAAAATTCATTCGAGGAAAAGGAAACCAACAACTCTGCGTTCGAATTCAATTTCTCTTCTGATTTTTCGGCCACAAAAATGGTCGCGGCCTCAGCAATTCCAACTTGTGTAAGCATCATTAAGCTTCCTTGCTTCGTTCAACACATAATCCCAAGCACCCAGGTCGAGCTTATAGCTGCCAACCCCAGGAAAACCACCACAAGAAAACCAACAGCCTCTCCGTATTCGATAAATTTTCACCAGAGTCATTTTCCTTATCATCGTGGAAATGTTTTCAAGTCCAAATCATACTCTCTTCGTACAGTCCTCACAAGGGTCAGTAGTGATGGTGGTGGCGCCATTAATGCCAACAAACAAGAATCTGCAACTCCTGTAAGTGCTTATTGGGTGTTTTTTTTTTTTTCTATCCTGCTATAGCCTTCTCTGTTCTTTATTTTGTTTTCTGGATGTTGCTTTTACTGTTAATCAATGTATGGAAGTCAAGAATATATTGAAGTCAAGCAATGGCCACGTTGACAAAGTTTTTTGAAAGGACTAGGTAATTATCTTATAGGTTTGCATATCTAGACGTTTCCTAAGTGGATAAATGATATGCTTATTCGACACGGAATCGATTGAGTTTCTTGCTCTTGTTCTTTGAGATACTTTTATTTGATTAACTATGTACATTTTCCTATATACTCGTTGCTATTTTCTTTACCTTATTCTTTTACTCTTTTCTCTTATAAGGATAAGAAATACTCCTATTTTTACACGTAAAATTTACATAATGATGCAGCCTTTCGCTCTAATTTCAGGATACTGAGGATGGTAGCTCATCTACTTTTGGTGACAGTTATGTGGCCGTGTTTGTTCGGATGCTTGGGTTAGACCAGGATCCTCTTGATAGAGAACAGGGAATAGTGGCTCTATGGAAGTATTCCTTTGGTGGGAAGAAGTGCATTGATAACATTATGCAGTTTCATGGCTGCTTAAATCTCACCATAAACCTTCTGAAGTCAGACTCCACTGCTACATGTGAAGCGGCTGCAGGCCTCTTACGGGCAATATCTTCTGTCAATTTGTATAGAGTTTCAGTAGCAGAAAGTGGAGCAGTTGAAGAGATAATGGGTTTGCTGAATCGCCCTTCTCTGACTTCTGAGGTATACTAGAGGTATTTCACCTTTAGAATTTCTTTTCCTGTATCCCTTGGTTGTAGGAAATTGATGCATATGTTGAACTTGCTTTTCTCAGGTAAAGGAGCAAAGTATTTGTACTTTGTGGAATTTGTCAGTAGATGAGAAGCTTAGAATGAAAATTGCCAGTGAAGATAGATTGCTTTTACTCATCAAGTTCCTGGATGATGAAGACATAAAAGTTAAGGAAGCTGCAGGGGGGGTTATAGCAAATTTGGCACTGAGCCACTCTAATCACAAAGTAATGGTTGAAGCAGGTGTTATTCCAAAATTGGTAAGGATTTTGGACCCCTCTGTCAATGCTATATCTTTTAATAAGTTGCAAGTTAACTTCCACCAAATTTATACTCATAACTTGTTGAATAGAGTCCATATTTACTTTGAACATTGTTTTATCATAGTGACTGTTAAATTTAATGTTTTTTTTTTTTTTTTCAGTTGAGTTTCAATTTTAGTTCAAAATATCTACTGTGAAGTTGTTTCATGGTAGGGTACGAAAA